TATACCACTTATAGTTTTTCACTTTCATACCACATTTATTTTTAGTTAGTTATTTTTATGCTAAACATTTTTTACTAGAAATATTTTTTATGGCGAAATAAGGTTGCCGGGTCAACTAGTATATATATATATATACTTTAAAAGAGTTGTATGTTAGTAAGAGTGAAAAATATTCAATTTGAAAAATAATTAAATAATTAATATATAAATGAATTAACATTAATATATACTTAAATGATGTCCATCCTGATCAAAAGTTAATGAATAAAATTAAATTGTGAATGATTTATTCGGTCCGATTGGATTTTAATGTATGATAATCTATAGATTTAATATATTAAATAATAATTAATATATTAAAAATATTTTGGAAACAAATTAATTTATTTATATAGGTATCTTTACATTACAAATTAAAAGTACAGTTTTATTACCACATGTATTAGGAATAAAAAAAATATATAGTACTTACAATTTTTCCGGCAAAGTATTTTTAGATTCCACATCGATAATATTTTTGTAAAATATTTAGTCACACTAAAAGCAAAAGAATGCATATGATTACTCAACTTGCATTATCTTTCTGAAGTCACTGCATGTTTTTAACAAAACCACAACTACATGCGATAGTTTAATTTCTATTGAATTATTGCATAATTTAACTTCGAATGGTAAAAATATACATTGAAATAAATGTTTTAATTTTATATTTGTCAGTTGATAAATTTAGAGTAGACACTTCATAAAATTTTGTAAAGAAAGGGGCGTAAATTAACATGGTATCGATATTGTGCTTGTTTGATAATTTGTCACATGTACACATCATACATATGCCATTATTATTTTTCATTATATATATATATATATATATATATATATATATATATATGTGACATGTTTTTTTATTAAATTTTTTAAACATATAGATATATACAATTTTATTTTTATAAACCAATACATTTTTTCAGACCAATATGTCGACCTATGATTCTGGAGAACAAGAAGCTGAAATCTGTTCCATCCAAGAAGGGGTAACTAAATATTTTATTAAATCTAATTAAAAATATTGACTTTATTATTATTTTTATTTTATTACTTATTTTTTATGAGATGTCTTCTCCACTCGGGCTGATTTTTATATAATTTTTTTTACATCAGGGACCCCAGGCAACCGTAGATTTAGAGCATGATGATAAAATAATAAAGTGGACAATGCTGCTGCTAAATTTACTAAATTATGTCATCATTTTTTGCATTTGGCTGTTTGTTACAGTACTTTGTTTTAGTAATGAAATCATGCTATTTTCATTCCATCCATTCTGCATGACGACGGGTGTAAGTATTATAGTAAATTGATCAATATTATAACGTAGTTTGTAAGATATTTATCACAATATATTTATCATAATATATAGAATATCACAATATTCTGTTTAGAATTAAAAAAATATAAAAAACACAAGAAACAATAAAATTATGTATGCGCAATCTTGGGCGCAGCCGATGGAAGTCTTTTTTATCTTAGTTGAAATTTGCCTTCAGCTTGCCAAAATTTTGGCTTTTGGCTACCCTTGTTTTTTCCTGAATTTAATAAGCTAATCAAAAAAATGTATATACATAAATTTATTATTTTAATTAATATTTTATTATATTTCAGTTCCTATTATTCGTATCACTGGGAATATTAGCACATAATAAAAATAACATACTGACTCGAAATAAACCATACAAATCTCGATATGAATTTCATTGGAAAATGCAACTTGGAGCGATAATTTTTCTCACAATAGGATTTACAATAATTCTTGTTAATAAAAATCTTTATGGAAAACCTCATTTCACATCATATCACGGTAGGTTTGAACTACTTTATATGTAACGTTCGTTTTTTTTTGTGAATTATTATATAATTATACATATACTTTGTTAATTAATACGATATACATAACCCAAACTAGATTACAATTGCACAATATTTGTAAGTATACAATACTACAATGGGTGTAAAATTACTACAATGGATGTAAAATTACTACAATGGGTGTAAAAATACTACAATGTTTGTAAACAATACTACAATGGGTGTAAAATTACTACAATGGGTGTAAAAATACTACAATGTTTGTAAACAATACTACAATGGGTGTAAAAATACTACAATGTTTGTAAACAATACTACAATGGGTGTAAAAATACTACAATGGGTGTAAAAATACTACTACACCCATTGTAGTATTTTTCACCCATTGTAGTATTTTTCACCCATTGTAGTATTTTTACACCCATTGTAGTAATTTTACACCCATTGTAGTATTTTTACACCCATTGTAGTAATTTTACACCCATTGTAGTATTTTTACACCCATTGTAGTATTGTTTACAAACATTGTAGTATTTTTACACCCATTGTAGTAATTTTACACCCATTGTAGTAATTTTACACCCATTGTGGTAATTTTACACCCATTGTAGTATTTTTACACCCATTGTAGTATTGTTTACAAACATTGTAGTATTTTTACTCCCATTGTAGTATTTTTACTCCCATTGTAGTAATTTTACACCCATTGTAGTATTGTTTACAAGCATTGTAGTATTTTTACACCCATTGTAGTAATTTTACACCCATTGTAGTATTTTTACACCCATTGTAGTAATTTTACACCCATTGTAGTATTTTTTCACCCATTGTAGTATTTTTTCACCCATTGTAGTATTTTTACACCCATTGTAGTATTTTTACACCCATTGTAGTAATTTTACACCCATTGTAGTATTGTTTACAAACATTGTAGTATTTTTTCACCCATTCTAGTATTTTTACACCCATTGTAGTAATTTTACACCCATTGTAGTATTTTTACACCCATTGTAGTATTTTTACACCCATTGTAGTAATTTTACACCCATTGTGTAAATTTTTGGTACGGGAAGTTCCAGCAATTTGCCTTAAGGCACGATGCCATGCGCTCCACTAGTTTATTTATATCACTTTAAATAAAACACTTTCTTATCAATTCAAATAATATAATGAATAATGAATAACAATAATATTTTAATACACTATGCCAATAAATTCAGCAATGATTATACAAATACTAACACATTTAAATTATTTTCAGGTATTTTTGGATTAATAACATACATATTATTAGTTTTAACCTTCCTACTCAGCTATTTCACGTTAAAAGTAAAGTTTCTATTCAAATCCTTACCGAAGAATTATATAATGCTCGCACACGTGACCCTCGGAATAGTTGCGTACGCACAAGGATTTGCTGATTTTCTTCTGGGAATTTTTAGTGGCTGGTTTGAAAAAACTGGAGGAACAGCAGCTCAAGTCTGCTGTGTTTTGTTAACCATCCTTTTAACCGTTAATATATTATGGCCACCCATCTCCAGAAGACTGATTAAACCGATCAAAGCCATAACTTACTCTCACTTTTAGCAAACTCCATGAATCTGAAATATGTACAAATAAAAAAATGTTAATAAGCTAATTGTACAGTTAAATTGATTGAACATGAGGGTTATTGTAATATTGCAAGAGATATGAAGTCATGAAATTGTTTTTGCCTACAGTTTGCCCTTACCTGAAAAAGTAATAAATGAAACTATGAATCAAATGGAATTTTTATTATATTTTTTCCTTTTTGAAATATATAATTCATTTAAATTAATGTCATTGAATATTAATAAAATATATAAAAAACATTCATATTTTAGACTTTAAATATTATGGCAAATATTACTGATTTGCAGTAGATATTACATGATTAAAGATAATTTATTTTTTGCTTATATAATACAATTACACTAGTTATTTTTATTTTTGTTGCTTCAATTACATATTTTAAAATCATATAAAAAAATTCACACAATTTTACATTTTTTTATAAATATATTCAATCTGCATTTAAAAGTCAACTAAAGTATATAACTTCATTATATATAAATATATACACATGACATCACAAACTTTAAAAAGTATGGCTATTTACACTAACATTCGAACTCTCATAATCCTTAGTTTACATTTAATTCTCTCAAAAAATTATCAATAAATATTTCAACAAACAACAATAAAATAATCGCAATCATTCAGTTTGTCGGCCATTAAAACATACAGTAATTAGGTTACACTATTACGATCTAAAACTATACCTAGAGAATTAAATAAATTTGGATTTCCAAACCTATTTGAATTCCGAGCATAAAAAGTATATCACTGGCTAGCTAATATAGCATGACAAACAAAGACCATAAAATTAAATTAACTATTTTTTTTTTAAACTGTTCCAAACAGTTTATGGCCCTAAAAACAAATTTGGTAGAATCACACACTGGGAATTAGGCCTCTGGCGTACAATTGCAATAGCGCTCACTTGTCCGTCGCCAGATCCTGCGTGGGCGTGGCTCCGGTCGCAGTTGTGTAATCTAGTTGATACAACCCGGGCCGGGCAATCTCCTCCATCGTGAGCTCTTTACAATCTACACCGGAGTGACCACTTCCACCGCAGTTATAACATGATCTAGGCAACGCTCCTGCAGGAGGGTAAACAGGTACAGGTTGCAAATAAGGATGCGGAGGAAAGGGGTAAACAATATCGCCGTTCGGCGACGGTTGGAAAGGAATGGGAGGAGGTCGATATGAATGAGTAAAACCGAACATTGACCTCGTAGTAGTGGTAAAATGATGTGGAATATAATATGGTGTAGTTACTGTCATACCCACTGTTGTAGGGCCACTACTAGTTGTGTCATTCAAAGTAGGTCTTGTAAAAGATTTTTCAGGCCTACCATTCAATCGGCATCTCTCCTTTGTTCGATTGCTGTTGCTACTGCTGACCCCACCTAAGGCTGGCGTATCAGGGGGAGAGTGACCTGCACTTCCTGAACTACCCGATTCACTAGCACTAGATTGATGTAAAGAGCTATCAGCGTCTAACCTAAGCGCTTGTAGCTGTGATGCACAGTACGTCACTGGCGGTGGTTGACTAAGTTTGGCTCGATTCACACTGATCGGACCATGATTTTGAACAGGATTTGTGCAATTTGATATACAGTAACCATTACAATTTACAATAGTTCGTAATTCATTCATAGTGCCAGTTGGAATTCCTATTTTATCTTCATCCATATGGGAAACCTAAAATCATTTAAATCATTTATAATTATAAAATCATATAATGGAAATATGTAGACCTGAAAAATTTGAACAGATCATTAATGTCTGAAATGTGTAGTAATATTTATCTGAATTTATAATTATTTTAAGGGACACAACTAGTGTGATCGCCTAAAAAAAAGGTGTCTTTTGTGAATTTATATTAAAAAAACTACTTTATCAATCATTTCAAAATTTTAGGAATACATTTATACATGTTTTAAGAATACATAGTAAATTTTTGAAGGAAAAAATTAAATATTTTTTAAGTTATCGACGATCTCCAAGGGCGCGACAAAAAAAGGCCCTTTACTGCTGCAGTGATTCCGGCCTTCTACGTGGATGAAATAAAAGAAAAATTCTCGTTAAACTAGATAATATTGTCTGTAAAATGAAGTTTAATGAAAAAAATAAATCAAAAATTGAAAAAATGCCGGCGTTTTTAAAAAAAAAGTCGAATTTTACCCAAAATTTTGGTCGTTTTTGGATTGCCAAAATTCGATTTTTGATCCGATCAAAAAATCGATAGTTCATTTATCGGAGAACTCTATGAAGAACATGTAAAAAAAATTTGATAGTGATCGGATCATTCGTTTCTGAGTAATCATTGCAGCAAATTCGGTAAATGCTGTTTCGAGAAAAACGCGTTTAAAGATAAAATTATCGTTGTACTATATACTATATATATACTTTTTAAATGGATGTAACTCAAAAACTATTTGAGATATCAATTTCAAATTTTAATATGGTGAAAAAAAAAACAAAAATCGATTTTTTCGAAATTTCACACTAGTTGTGCCCCTTAATATCGGAAGAAATATTTTAACCAGCAATACCATTAAAACCTTACAATATTTAAAAGCAAAATTCCTATTTAGTGCAAATTATACACATTATCAAATTATTACTGGGTTAATATCAAAATTTATTATACAAGCTGTAATAAGAATATCACTAAAACCCACCTCATGCAATGTAAAATTTCTTAAATGTTTCAAGCCAGCTTTTGTCAAATCTCCTTTAGTTAGTCTTATAAAATCTTTTGTTTGCGTTATCAGTGTTTGAGTATCTGGTGTTGTGACAATAGCTGAAGCAGTAACATGAGGAATTGGCAAAGGATTTATCGTAGGAGCAGAGATAGAAGCAGAAAGAGGAGCTTGCGATGGTATAAGAACAGAAGGTGGCGGTGTGGGGTCATTAGATGGCCGCCTTTGCATTCTATTAATGTGAATTGCTTGTGGCCGGGGATTATTCGTTCTTGATGGATTATTATTAGGACTGCTTGCTCTACTGTGCACTGGAGAATCAGACTGATTTAACATAGGAGACGATGCTGTTTGTGTATTATGAAGTACTGGCTGAAATGTGCAATCATTATTGAAACTTTTAGTTCAGCTAACAAATATTTGAAATAAATCAATCATGCATAATAAAAATATAAGGAAAGTAAAAATGATAAAAAATTGTTATTTAAGCATTATTACTCCTTAAACCAATAAGTGTTCAACTATAAATATTCCTATAAAATTAAAGATACTTTAGAAATAGTTATGAATTTCAGTAATAAGCATTTAAAAAAAAATTCCAAATGAGAACACCATTATTAATTAAATAAAACAATAAATAAAGATTTATAATATAAAACAACACCAAAACCGTTTGCTAAAATAATTTGCACTAAATATATTAATTCTTATTACCTCTGCATGAGATTGTGGGCCTAATGCAGAAACAGTTGGAGGAGTAGTCCTTGACCAAGGACCATGTGGAATAGTAAATTCGGCTCGTGGAGTCATAACAGGTTGTAATAAATGCCCGCCAGGTAATAATGCTTCATTAGTTAGATGAGTAGATTGTATTACTGGCACAGAAGATATAGCAGATATTGTGGAACTATTAGAAACTGGTGATATATTTGTAATCGGAGACACTTCAGGACCAACTTGCACATTAGATACTGATTGAGTATGATGCGGTACAGTATTTAATAGTGATGTGTTTGTATTTGATATTGGTACTGCCGGTACAACCAATGGTATGTGTTCTGCAGTATTAACAGGCATCTAGAAAAAATTTGTATAACTGAAATTGATGCATCTATAACTGATTATTACATATAATGCTATGGTAAGAACTGGAGATAAGGTAGGGTCAATCGAATCAAATGTCAATCAACTGCAAATATGATATAATAAACCATGTTATATGATATAAACAACTTTCCATGTAAATTTTATACCCAATTCTATTTTTTTGTTATATGAAGCAGTATTGCACAACTGTTAAATAAGGTTGAGTGCTTGAAATTTGAAAATACTCAACACATTCATTTTTTACATTGCACAATACATGGATTATTTTATTGTTTAAAAAAAAATAAGAATGAGATTCATATAGTATTTTTTATACAAAGAACTTGTATAAAGTTCAAGAATGTTTTGTAACAAGTAAAAAGAGCTATTGATAAATAATTCAATATTTCTGAAGTAAATAGTACTTTCAGAAATTTGAGATTGATATAGCATTTGTTATATAAAGAACTTGTAAAAATTCAATAGTAAAAGTAAAATGAACTATTGATAAACAATAAATCCAATGTTTTTGAAGTGAAGAGTATTTTTTATAAGAAACAAGAATTTGAGATTGATATAGCATTTGTTATACAAAGAATATGTAAAAAATTCAATAGTAAAAGTAAAAGGAACTATTGATAAACAAATTCAATGTTTTTGAAGCGAATAGTACATTTTATAAGGAACAAGCATTTGAGATTGATATAGCATTTGTTATACAAAGAAAGTTAAATATCGTAATGTAGTAGGTAAAAGAAACTAATGAGAAATAAACGATACAAAGTTTTTGAAGTGAATAGTACTTTTTATGAGAAATAAGAATTTGAGATTTATATAGCATTTGTTATACAAAGAACCTGTTGAAAACTCAATAGTGTAATGTAGTGAGTGAAATAAACTAATGAGAAATAAACAATTCAAAGTTTTTGAAGTGAATAGTACTTTTTATGAGGAATAAGAATTTGAGATTGATATAGCATTTGTTATACAAAGAACATGTAAAAAGTTCAATAGTAAAAGTAAAAGGAACTATTGATAAACAAACTCAATGTTTTTGAAGCGAATAGTACATTTTATAAGGAACAAGCATTTGAGATTGATATAGCATTTGTTATACAAAGAACCTATAAAAAGTTCAATAACAAAATGTAGTAGGTACTACTGAGAAACAAACAATTCGAAGTTTTTGAAGTGAATAGTACTTCTTATGGAAAATAAGAATTTGAGATTGATATAGCATTTGATATACAAAGAACTTGTTGAAATTTCAATAATGTAATGTAGTAGGTAGGAAACTACTGAGAAAGTAACAATTCAAAGTTTTTGAAGTAAACAGTACTCTTTATGAGGAATAAGAATTTGTGATTGATATAGCATTTGTTATATAAAGAACTTGTAAAAAGTTCAATAACGTAATGCAGTAGGTAAAAGAAACTATTGAGAAATAAACAATTCAAAATTTCTGTTGTGAATAGTGCTTTTCATAGATATTGCTAAAAGATATCAATGATTCAAGATAAAAGTATGTAGGTAGGTAGGTAGTAATTATATAACTATTTCATACTTGTGTGAAAGGTCTCGAAAGATTCTTTAATCCCCCTTGTGCATGTTGACCCATAGAATTGTGTGACAGGCGTTCCTCTGTGAGCCTTTTGACTATATTTCCACAATGCTGTCGTTGTTCAAAATTAAAAACAGGATGCCAATGAGCTAATGTGTACAAAAGTAAGATTTCTTCCAGAGCAACTCCTGAAGGGACATTCAAGAGATCATTAAAATCCCATCCAGCAAGGACCCTGAACAGGTCATTTACGCAATCTATCTTGCCAAAACGTAAAAGGGCGACGTATAACGCTAATTTTCTACGTATCCTCTGGTCCGACGGGCCTCCTGTCAGACAAGAATCATATATGGCGGTCAATTCCTTGGCCGTGTTTACACTGTGGGAAACACCTCTGAGCAACTGAAAATCTCGACGGCCGAGCCCCTCTATGCATGTGCCTAAAAATCGTAGTTCAAACGGAAGGCACATATTTAGTAGGGTACACATTGTTTCGATTCTTTTGTAGCTTTCTAACTCATTAAACCACGATACCACGTCCTCTTTACACACCATTTCCAGTACACATTGATGTCTCTAGGCGAATGTATTTGACACGACGCTCCTGTGTTAATAATCGAGGTTTTGTTAATATTTTGTGGCACACTACGACAATAATAGACCTACAACGATACGAGTAACATCAATTTCCGTCAGAGACTACTGTAGCATGTAGATTTTTGGTTAAACACTCGCTACTAGAAACTGCTTTTGGGACTATGACGTGTGGTGGGCCTCCGTATCGCCGATAGAGAGATCGAGGGATATGCTCTCAACCTCTCGCCGTTCATCAGTCTATGAGCCGTTTCTTTGCCGTTCGGGCAATACCACCTTATCTCTCCGCCGTTATATCGAATTCGAATGTTTATTTAAATATGACGAAAAATTTTCATGACTTTTTTATAATTCACTATAATTTTTGAGCTGAATTGCTGCTCTGAAGCGAACAATGGTAGACACTCTATTGAAAATTTTAATAAAACATAATAGATCAAACTTATAGACATCAGATTTTATTTAAAAACAATTTACTATTGAATAAAGCAAAACCATCTTTTGTTTTATGATTTAGCTATATGGTAGTCCTATAATTTAAAATCAGAAACAAATTTTATATTATTTTTATCAATTATGAAATCTGTTGAAATTATGCAGATTCATCTTAAGGGGGCATTCTAATGTAGAAATGCTCAAAATAGATTTTTCCCTTTTTACATATTTTTAATTTTTCAAGATTTTTAAAAATTCCAATTATTTTTGAAGATACAGCTGTCTGACCATGATAATCCTCTTCCATTTCCTTTCTTTTGTAAAACTTTAAACCCTAGACATTATAATAATAGCTTTAAACGCTATGTGTAAACGCATTATTCCCAATATGATGCCCACGATTTCTTGAGTTCTACTAGACCAATTTACTTGAAATATTTGGAGAATTTTCTTTATAGACTTCTTTCAATGTGGTATAAAAATGGTCATTTTTTCATTCACAATTATATCAAAAATTTACTTCTTAACTTATATACCATATTATTACCATAGCAACATCATTCTATGCTAATAATATTTTTTTTCCATTTCAGATCACTAGGAGGGTTGCAATCGTAAACAATCGTAAAAATGATCTGAAATTCATGCTTCTATACACAAGCATACCCCCTTAATGATATAATACTAATAACTCATTAGTTTATTTTCAAAATCAACTCATTTCATATTTTACTTGATTTCAAAATAAACACTTATAATTCTTTATACTGCAGAAAATCAAACATCTCTGGATTTATAGTAAATTTATGTATCAAATTATTGTACATTACAACTTTGATAGCAAAAGAAATTATATGAGTTAAACTATTTTATATTGCCTTAAATATCAAATCATACCAACAACTTTAACTGAAATAATGCATTGTTCATAAAAAATTGAAGTTTTCTATTTGCTAAACGCTCTTTATTTTTTACACACTATATTTAGAAAGCATCATCATCTTCCTCAGCCATCTCTTTTGCTAATTCAAGATCCTGCTGTTCTCTCTCCCTACGTTCTTCAGCGCTCTCCAATTCTTTTCCATATGCTTTCGGAGGATATCTCATTGCTTTCACACTTTGATTATGCAAATCTAAACAGAATGATATTCGCTGATGGAAAGCCAACTGTGGTTCTCTGGTGCAGTAAATATCACTGCTTTCTTTGCTCCTCATGAACCCTTGCTCAGGATCTAAAGTTGCTTCAATAACTCCATCACGAATAGCTTTGGCAACAATAAATTCTGCATCTTCAGCTGAATCCAAACCCAACTTCTTAGCAATATCTTGAGGAGAAATTCTAGAATATGAAAGACCTATGGATCTTATTGCTGTTTTAATGACATTGTGACGCAAACGTAAAATTAGTGTAAAAGTATGATCTTGTCGAAATTGTGGTCCAAAATTCTCTAACACCTCACCAAATCTTTGCAAATTTCCCATTCTTACCGCTTGTGTCAATTGAAAATATGGGGCAAGTGATCTACGTAATGCAGATTGTCTAAAAATTTGTCGCTCAGGGATATCACCTAATAGTAATTCAACGACAATAGCAAGTTTTTGGGCAGTCTGTCTGAAACCCACTGCCGCAGTTTGAGGTGCTTTTCTCATTCCTTGAACAAGATGCTTATGTGCAGCACTATACTCTAATCTAGCAGCCTTGATGCGGCCTAAATAATATAAAAATCTAGCCCATTCATTATTGCTAGCAGTTTCAGGAAAAACTGATTTACTTACTAGTTTATCAGCCTGGTCATATAAAGAGTAATGTAAATAATTTCTCAATAAGCAATTAATAATAACGGCTTGCCCTTCAAAATCATTTCTCAATGTAGCAGTCCTCAAGCGGGCATGTAAGAAGCCTCTGATACTATCAAGTTTATTTGTTAATTCTGCAACACGAGAATGGTAATAGTAACATTTTGCAGCAATTAAATCAATTGTACGTCTGTTTAGAGCAGTGATTTTGGACATTAATTGATTTGTGCAAGCTGTAGCCTCATTTAGTTTATTGCTATCAATCAATTTGACAAGGACTAGCAGATGGAGGTATACATCAATCTCTGGAACTGGAGACTTGACAGCTGATCTTGTTTTAGGTATTTCTGGCTCCCCAGGCACTGCAGGAACTTCATCTACATAATTTAATATAGAATCTCTTTCTGAACCAGGGGGATACAACTGCGTTGCAAGAGTTCTCAAAACGAGTGGATTCAATTTTTTCCTGGTATTTGGCAGAGATCTGAGGACTCTCAATAAATATCTGGGTTCTTTACTAACTACTGCTTTGTCTATTTGCCTTGCATGCTCCCTTATATCTTGTATACTCAACAAATCGGCATCTTTCTTGAGATCTGCCGGATCTACTGGACTTGTAGCAGGGCTATCAAGGTTTTTCATTTCAACGTCTGTACTGCATTCGCTGCTTGGTACACCCATATTATTTATTTTTAATTTACTGAATGTAACATAAATTGCACTACACAAATGACAACAAGAATAATTCCAAATAGTCACAATGAAAAGTGTCGAGTAATAACTATGGGAGAAATTAGTGTTGCCTTAAGCGATATTGACAGCATAGGTCCCAAAAACCCATTCTTAATAATTGTGCAACATATGGCAACATTGCATATAGAAACTACTTTATTAACTACTTCACTCCATCAAAAAACAATAACAAATGTCACATATTAATTTTTCACTAATAGAGATTAATGAAAGACAATATTCCATATTCCAACAATTTATAATCTTAATTTAGTATCTACTTATTTGAGTTTTATTTATTGAATATTTATACATTATTTCTAAGATTTAAACTTCTATTAATAAGTAAAAAGAAACAAACATTGTAATGCACAGAAATAAAACAAAGAGTATTAATAAAATTACATTATTCAATTCCAATATTTACAAATCAATTTGTTTCATATAATACAATCAGTTTTTAAGTATATTATGAACTAGTCACATATCTTCTATCCAAGGTCCTGGTATTCACTTAGATTTGGCTTCATTATCTAAAACAATGATACAAGTTCTCTATACAAATAGTTGCGTATTTTTAATAAATCCTCAACATCCTTCCCTTATAAGTTACCGGCATATTTAACTTCATCAAAGGCTTTACGTGCCCTCTTAAGTTCCTCATTCATAGTCAATAAGTCCTTAACACGAGCATATTTTCTAGGATCTTTTCTAACTAGAAATATTATATCTTCAACCTGAACTCTACCCGTTCTGCCAATCTCCATTGCCCTAAGATTATTTTGTAAGATGATAAGGTATAAAACAATAAATTTCTAAAGCTATTTCTCACCTATGTGTAGTTTCGATTATGAATTCTATTACTAAGTCCTCCAACAAATCAACACTTTCGGTGTAGGGATTTTGGTCATCACCGAAACCATACATCATACAGCGCAATTCCTTGCTAAACAATCGTTTTCTACCAGCACTAGTAGATTCAAAATTATAAGTACTTTCACCTAGGTCTTCATCCTCAAACTAAAGATATTTACAATAATATAGGTTAAGACTTGTACTTATTGTAATATTTTTCAATATATTCACCTGCTCGAAACTTTCGTTAGGATCTTGGGCTGCCATTATTAATCCTTTATTGCATACAAATGAACACCAAAATTGACCATAATTTAACAATATATTAGTGTTAAATTGTTTCTATCTTGTCAAAATAAACTTGGAACACGAAAATAAAGCTGAACTTTGGTGTGGCAACACCAAAAGTTGTGCAAGATGCAACTTTCATTGAACCGTCCTGTCCAAAAAATTGGTTTTCGTCTCACTATGGCTATGTAGTGTGTCAGAACTAACCTTAAATTATTGCTGTCTACCGTCGATTATCTACAAATTATAAATTTATGAATATAAAAAATTAATCATTAATTGGTTCTAGTTGGTGTAAAATGTTTAGATATGTCAGAAGTATAATTTCCTCATGTAGTCAAGTGCAAAGTGTAATTAACTACAATGTAACCAGGAGGGGGTTTCAAATTAGTGCCACAAACTTCTGCGAAAATTCAGAAGGTGTTGATCAAGAAGAAAATAGCAAACCTATAAAAGAAGGCTGTGACAGAAGGACAGCAATACCTGTAGAAACCAGCATAAAATATATGAAAAGCGAAGCCTACAAAAAAGTTTATGGAGATCGTAGGTTTACATGCTTTTATAAGCATTAAAATTATTATTAATTGCTTATTTGGAAATTTCAGAAGCAGTGTGGGTGCAATATAGACGTAATCATAAAGGCATGTTCCCACCTAGAAAAACAAGGAAAACTTGTATCCGAGGTGGTGTGATATCAACAGGAAACCCTTGCCCAATTTGTAGAGATGAATACTTGGTTCTGAATGAAAATAATACTGATCTCTTGAAACAATTCATTTCACCACACACTGGAGAAGTAATAAAATTATCTAAATAAATATCTCCTCTTGAAGAATCCTAACATTTTTTTTATTTTCAGGTACTAAGTTACAGTAAGACAGGTCTTTGCCAGAAACGTCACTTAGAATTGCTTGTTGCAACAGAACGAGCAAAAGACTGTGGTCTTATAATATATGATTTACCAACTAAGGAATACGATTATTCAGAATATTATAAGGATTTCGATTTAACTGCACTTGAGGCAACCAAGTTTAAATTTCATCAATGAGTAGTGCTACGTTTCTCATAATCGGGGGAGGTATAGCTGGTGTGTCATGTGCTGAAACTCTAGCTTATTTATGTCCAAATAAGTCTATCATCTTATTAACACAATCACCTCTTATTAAAGCAGTTACCAATTTAGTTTGTTTAGGAAAATGCATAACGACTTTTGATGTAGAGGAAAAACATGCTAAAGATGTATTTTCATCCAAAAGTTTAGTAAATATTGTTAATGATAAGCTTCATTATGTCTGTACACAATCAAGGTATGTCCTATGTGCAAGTGGCCTGAAAATTAATTTTGAATATATATGCATATGCACTGGAGCAAGGCCAAAAATCATACCCCAAGCTGTTGGCCATGAACGTGTACTAACAATTAGAGATACAGAATCTGTTAAAGATTTTCAAAAGCTTCTCAATAATGCTCGAAAAATTGTTATTGCTGGTAATGGAGGAATAGCTACAGAACTGGCTTATGAATTAAAAGGCATCGAAATTGATTGGGTTATAAAAGATAAACATATTACTGCAACATTTGTAGATCCTGGTGCTGCACAATTTTTTCAATCAAAATTGAATGATAAATCTTTTAATGAAAGTGAAAACAATGCAGTTATAAAACGAATGAGATATTATGAGGATGGTGAAAGTAGTAGTAGTGGAGCTGCATTAGGGCCTGATTGGCACAATTTATTAAATTTAACACCATCAAATCCGCTGCCTGGTACAGTCACTGTACATTTTGAAACAGAAATTTCTCAGATTGAAAATTCTAAGGATGAATGGCCATGTTATGTAATATTAAATAACAATAAGAAAATTGGATGTGATATCATAGTATCTGCTACTGGTGTTATACCCGAGATGTCTTTTGACTGGGATGTGATACCTGAATTAGGTATTGATGGTGGAATTTCAGTAAATGAATTGATGGAAACCAGTTTGATGAATGTATATGCAGCTGGAGATGTCTGTTCTGCCAACTGGAATTCTTCAGATCATTGGTTCCAAATGAGATTGTGGTCTCAGGCTAGACAAATGGGTGCCCAGGCTGCTAAATCGATGGTAGCTAAAATAAACCATGAAAGCATTTTACCAGATTTCTGCTTTGAAATGTTCTCTCACGTGACAAAGCTATTTGGATATAAAGTAGTTCTTTTAGGAAAGTACAATGGGCAAGGCTTAGGAAATAAATATGAAGCGATTGTAAGAGTTACAAAAGATGTTGAATATATTAAATTAGTTTTGTCAAATGGTAAATTGCAAGGCGCTGTTATGATTGGAGAAGTTGGATTAGAAGAAACTTTTGAAAATCTTATTTTAAATCAACTGGATATCAGCATGTACGGAGAAGATATACTAAACCCCGATATTGATATAGAAGATTATTTTGATTAGTTTTAAATAAAATGTTAATTGACTAAAAGATAAATACATCTATTACAAAATTAATTGCTATACATTTTTACATTGTACATATATTACTCACTTACATACTTGAAGTATTTTTTTATAGTTCTTGATTTTTACATTGTCTTCATGATTCACTATATCATTATTTACACTACACTACTTCATTCAATCTAACAAAAAACGAACTGTTTTGGCAGTCCTATTGGTCGGTTTTGGGCATATTTCAGCCTTCAAATTTTCTATAAGCATTATTATTTGTTCAACACTTTGTGTTACAGTTCCACTAACTCTTCGACTGGCCTGCTCATGTGCTAATGACTGCAATAAATTTGCATTTGTCTCAATAATATTTAAATATTCAGAAGCACTTTTCTCAAATTTGAGTTTATCTGGTGTGCTCGAAATAAAATTATTCTTTAATAAACTAATATTTAATGATATACGACTAGAATTTAATGCATCTGTGCTTATGTCATTGTCATTTTCTCTCCAGGATATATCCGAATCTAAAAGTTCATGAGGATCAGTTTCATGATCTCTTAGTCTTTGCAACCAACATTTTAATCTAGCAGGTGCCCAATCCATGATTAAATGGCGATCTTTATCTTGAAGAGTTACCATTGGCAATGATCCATTTGGACCTATTACTTGGGTTTGTTTAAATTCAATATTAAGGCCGCTATCGCGACATCTTTGCGTGGCTTCTCGCGTCTAAAAATGAAAAAGTACAATAATAAAAAAAAATAATCTGAAAACAAACTTTATATATAAATATATATTTATACTTACAAGTAAATGCATTTCATGTAAACTATGCTTTGTGGGCGTTTCTTCTCCTAAAATTTTTGCTAAATCATCCAAAAATGTTGATTTGTAAGGTAAAATTTTTCCAAAACTATCATCAACAGCTTTATTCGATTGTGTTTGCGTTTGTGACTCCAATTCATCACGTCTCTGTTCTGCTAATTTTAAACAACTTCCTAATTGCTGTAGTTCTACTTGATGACGACGTTCAGCTAATAAATTCTGAGCTTCTAGCTCAGCGATTGCTTTTTCTTTTTCTTTTTGCAATTCGTTTCTAAGACACATTTCTTGTGCCTTCATAACTTCTTGATGTGCTTCCTCAAAACCTATCACTTCATTTGGTTTAGGTTTGATGTCAATGAATGTGGGATCATATGGGTTGCTGATTCTAAAATATTGGCTGCCGCCAATAACGAGTCGATCACAATGTTTCAAAGGAATACTTCCAAAGACAACTTGGCCGTTGACAAACGTTTCTGCATTTGGATCAGTTACGTGCAAAGTTAACTGGTTACCGACATTCTCTATTAAACTGCAATGAACATAATCAATTATTAAACTTAATCCTCCTTAATCATACATCCCAAATTATTTGTAACTTGAATATTATATTAATTATATTCCTAAATATTTTGCTTACCAATGTTCATATGCTACTAAAGGGCTATCTAGTGCAATATCAGGCGGTTTTCGAAACGCTCCTAATTCATCTGTAATATTCAGAGCCCTTCCTATACGTAGAGTTCCTGGTGGCAAAAGATACAATAAGGTTCCTGATAACATAGGGTCTGCCGATAAATTGACTAAACAAGGCTGTTGCTGATCTTCCGATAACACCAACGCCAATCCATGTCGGCGCAACAGGCGCATTTCACTCTCCTGGGTAAAAAAGATTATAAATTTTTTGAAGGCAAGTATCTTCATTCAAAAATTTCAATGGTTTTACCTGGCATGCCGCTGCCTCCTGGAGTCTTTCATTCCACGTTTTTTGGGCATCTCTAAGCTGCTGTTCGGATAAAGCCAATTTTCGCCTTAAGGACTGCACTTCCGACGGAGAAACGCCGCTACCGGTCTCTATCACAATTTTTGTAGGAGCTGATGCTATAGCATCAGATCGGCGCTCCCGTCGCTCGTAGTCCTGGCGAAGAGCGCGCAATCTTTCCACCTTTTGAATAAAAAATAAGTTGTAAGTAACTGTATAATAAATGAAATTGACTACAATCTGCAGCTTTACCCATTAGATCTATCTCTATAATTATATAAAATTATTTTATTAACTTCCCGAAGGACAAGTTTATGTTTTCATCAAAAAATCCGATTCGCTAATTTTATGTTTTCTCGACGTTTCAAGCCATTCTGAATCGATTGAGACCAAATTTGGAAAAAGTATGTGTGTGTGTGTGTGTAAACAGATTTTTTGCCGTAAATCGACGTTTGATCAAAAACGCCTGAACCGATTTCAGAAATTTAAAAGCCATTTGATGTATCTCAATGAGGACTATCGTTTGTCAGTTATGTGAGACGATTTGCCAAACTGTTTCTTTGTAATTTGAAAAAAAAGTGTTAAACTTTTCATCCACATTTAAGCTCATTCTACCGAAACGATTTTAAATAATCAAAAACTGTTCGAAAGATATTAGTTGGGAATAATACTGATTAGTTTTAGGTGAAAATCTACCGAGCTGTTTTCTTGTAATTAACTGTTGAAAAAAAAAATTAAGCTGATTTTCATGGAACTTTTTTTGGCGATATATATCAAGGTCTTATAGATCTTACTGAAATATTACGGCCTTACGACAAGTAGTTTAATTTTAAAAATTCATCAAAGTTGAGTAGTTTTTTTTGACGTTTTGTTAAAATTAAAATTAGATGATTTACGTGGTACAACGATAGAGTACTTGGTTTTAATGAAAATACTAAACCATTAACGTCCTACAAAAACTGGTTCAATTATAAAAATTATTGATTTGTGAAAATTTGCTTTTAGAAAATACTCCGAAGTTAACGTGTTCGTTTGTTTTCAATTATGTGTAATAAATCCTCTCGGAATACTTCAAATCACTCATAAATTAATTTGTTTATTGTTTATTAAGTCGATTATTTACACATATCGGGTAGTTCATGTAACTTGCCTCAAGGCTAAATACCAATACCAACTAGTTTAGCTTATAAATATTTTTATTACCTCGCATCTCAATTCTCGTATAAGCCTATCATGTGGGTCTTCATTGACCCTCACCCTATTGACAATGGTTCGGGCCTGGCACGCGTATCTCAGGGTGGATAGAGTTTCGTCCAGATGCCGGCTGGCTGGTGAGATAGTAGCCAGCATGCAAGTTCGAGAATTTCCACCGAGATTTTCCTGCAAATAATAAATATTTCATGAGATCCATATTAATAAAATATTATATTAAAATATAGTAAACTTTATAAGTAAAAAAAATGAATGCAGAGCATGCAGGAGCAGCAAATTTGTATATAAATATGATTGCAATCAGCATTTTCCGACTATGTACGACAAGCTACGAAATCGTCCGAGAAAGAGAGAATGAAATACTCCCGACAAGAAGCACTACGTTCCATTTAAACGATTTCGCTTCCCAAGAGCGAGTATAGAAAACGTGGGCGTGCGCATTTGTATACATAGTAAACACAACAAACTCCAAAAACTCGAAAAAATCAAAGTTGTTTAATAAACAAAACAAAAACTGCAACATTAAGTGTGTTATAACCATGTGCTAAACTTGTTTTTAGTGCCATCTTATCACATTAAAAGATATATCATGTTAACGACGCATTTGTAGGTTATGTTTAGATCCTTAAAGTTACGTGCGATTGTCCTTTTTGCGAATGGCGACGAAAGCTCTAGCTAAAGCTTTCACTTCGAATAATGTTTATTGAATAATCATAAAGTGTTATTAAATTATATCACAATGGATTTATACAGCATGTATCTACCTGATGCACTTTCATACACCTCGTTTAGGAGTCCTGCTTACTACAGGGACTACGAGACCCAACCTTTTGACGACAAGAAAAGAAATTGTCATTACAAAGGTAAATAATTTGATAAAGGTGAATAATTTGGTGAAGTGTGTAATATTTTATGCGTTAACAAAAGCGAAAGTAGCATCGCAAGGTGCGTCAGTAACTTATTATTGCATGCATTGACTTTGTTGAAAATTAAAATATATCCATATGTTTGTAGTTATATAAGGTTTTATTAAAAATATAACATAAATAATATAATATTGAAGTAATAAAATCCAAGAGCCCTAAAGATGCATTTCAATTTCTTTTCTCTTATGAGAATCTTATAAGAAATTATTGCTTTATTTTTTTTCGGTGCACATATATATGGGTAGTCAATCAGAATAATATAAATATATGCAGTAATTTAATAAAAATATAGGGATCTATCGATAGATCTCTATAAATTGATAAAAAAAATAAAATTTTTGATTTGTATATACAAATTTTGAAAGAACCTATACTTCATGAATAAATCTTTATTATTATTATTATTATTATTATTATTATTAACATTATTATTATTATAAGATTTTTCCAAATTTTTATATACAAATCAAAAATTTCATTTCTCTACTTTCCACATACATATGCGCTCTTAATAATTTTCTCTATTTTTTATTCTTTTATTTTCTTTAATCTATTTTTTATTAATTATCATAAATTACTTCAATATAACTGAAATAATTTTGTTTATAGAAATGATACAACTCCATGTGCAATTATTGATAATTCTATTTTTGATATGAGATACATCGTTTATTGCACATTAATTATATTTCTTATATAATTAAATATTTAATACAGCTGTTTTCACTTTATATATGTATATATAAATATATATATATATATATATATATATATATATAATTTATAGAGAGAGTCTTGTCTTCAGTATTATATTATCTTCAGTAAGTTCATATCAAATTATTCATTATAAATCTTGAATGTTTCATTGAACCTTCATGACACACACAAATATATGATGTATAGGAATTATTATGAATTGTCGCTGATGATGAACAAAATTGTTAAATGAAAAGTTAAGTTTCATTATAAATCTTTTATTAAAAAAATATGAATATTACCATAAGAAATTATTTTGGGAAATAATTAGATTTAAAACGAATTTTACTTCTGGAAAATTTACTATATTAACAGCATATACAAAGCAGAAAATTATATTTGTTTCTTGTGAAAATACGCTATAATTGATAATAGCTAAAATAAATATTACATTATCAATTTTTCTGGGAGGAGTTCAGAATGTAAACATTCGCGTTTCGTAATATATCTAAAATAAATTCAACAAATAAAGAGAATAATTTCACAACCATTAAAATTAGTATAAGAAAGGCATATAAAAATTATCGCTTTGAAAATATTTTTGAAATTGTTATTAGCTCAAATTAAACAAAACGTTTGAGAAATTAATATTGATGAACATTGCTCACATGTTTTATGTACAAATCAATTTATGGCAGTTATTAGTATCAATTATAATTATGGATTTCAACTCTATATAATAGTCTTTTCCGCAATTTTTGCCAAAGCATGTAATTCAAACATAAAGTAACATATGTAAATTTCACCGCTAAGTATCAAATTCCAAATTATTTAGGAAAACATTACATCAATCATGTTAAAACTGCCTACGCCGGTTCTATTTTTGCACAAAACTTGTATTGAAAAGTGGAACGTCTATAGTTACTAAAACAATCAATGAAACTGATAATGTATGTAAACATAAAAAATTATATAAGAAAACACAAACTGGTAAGATCGAGTCATTCTAATAGACATAAGATTTTGTGCAAATCCAGCCACATTGGAAAAAATAGACATGCATTACCATATTGCATAGAGTGAACAAATTCACTTTATGCAAAAAGAATTAGCTGATTTTTAATTATTTAACCAATTGGTAAATCAATTAACATGCATAATTTGATTCCGATTGAGGAATAATTATTTACATTAAATAATATACATTTGTATTAATTACATCCAATATTTTTTGGGTGTACTATCTGGAAAATAACCGCGGTCATAAAAAATACAATAGAGTGAAAACATAATAAAGTATCAAACGTTTAATGCATCAAAATGTTCAACATAAATCATATATATGAAATAATAATAAAAATTTACATTTAAAAATAAAAAGGTGTAATAAATTAATCCAATTATCAATCATGAGGGCGGTAATGATAATGACAATAAATAAAAGCATATTACTGTCTCATTATAATATGAGAATATTTTTAATCAATTTCATTATGAAAGGTTTCAGAAATTTTAAATATGTTCAAAACCCATTCACTTTCAAATGCTGTATTATTATAAATACAATGTACATATAGAAAATAATAAAAATTTACATATTTATATTCATATGTTGCTATAAAATAACTGGCATACACTGGTATGTTAATTTTTGCAAATGCACGCGAAATGCGATACATTGGCACACCCAAAGTACAAATTATACTTTCCACAACGTAGCTAGCGGAAATATTAATCCAATAAATATTAATGTCAATAATTTGCAATCTTAATCGTAAATTGAATTAAATTAATCGTAGAAAGGTACTGATAAATAAGAGTAGGAATTTTAACTATCAGACTATCAAACTATTCGTCTTCGTATAATTGTTTATAGAGTTGATATTGATGAAGATATGAAAAAAATTGTTACCAAAATGTGTTGATTTCTCAGATTAGCTTGTAAATAATAAGTATTAATAAATATATCATATTTCAATCAAAAACTTGAATTCAGTAAGATTATTATGACGTTGCAATTGATCAAAGGTTGCTCTATAAACGGTTGCATGTGACTCGATCCTCCTCCGAATTCACCAAATATTTCTCTCACATTCTATTCGAGACACAAGACATTTTATAGTGCATATTTTGGAACATAGTTCTAAAGTTTCGTTTTTTTTGCCCACGAGAATCGCATTGAATCCGAAACGAGTTCGAGTATTTTTAGAACAGACAACGTGGCCACTGAGAAATATATTGCGTGCGATACGCACGTTCGAATTTCGATCACAATGTCATATCAAGTGTTTTCATATCTCTATAGAAATAATAATTTTTAAAAATAGCTCATGCTTTATACAAAAATATAAAATGTACGTAATAAGTCAAGGAAGCGTCCTTTAATCACATGAAGCTTAAGAGTTTGACAAAAAACACAAAATATTAAGTCTGGGAGGGTGATCTAGTAAGATATTACGTGTATTTATTTTTACCTCAATTTAAAAAAAATCCAAAATTAAAAAAAAAATCCAAAATTTTACGATTTTTGAGGTAGTAAAATACACGTGATTTTTGGTGGCAGCGGAGTTAATTTAATTTTTTTTTTGAGAACACAGAAACAACTGCAAACAAATGCTATTAGTGCAGTAAACGGAGAGGAAAAAATGGTATAACCTGTATAAAAACTTTTTTTCCAATTTTTTAAAAAATCGAAATTATTTTCATTATCTCAAAAAGAATAAAAGTTACGTATAAAAGCATATAGATAAAAATCAAAGGGTACTTTCTGATTTATTATTGTTTTTTATTATTTTTCTTTCACACAAAAATTGACAGAGTTATGAACGTTTAAAGACTGCGCGGCTGTGCAAATTGGAATTGGAAAAAAAATTTATAAAACCGTGAGTTTTCTGAAAATAGTTTGTACTAAAGTAGGAAATCTGCTAGAATCCTTCAACATGTCTATAATGAAGTGAATTCTAGATGGAATGTGAATTACTTTAATTCTGGTGGAAATGGCGCTCATTAAACCATATGATTTAAAAGAAAAAACTTTGTATATGCTTCTTTTTTGCATGATAGCTCACTCATTTTACACGCAAAAAACTTGTAACAGCACTCATTTTAAAGCTTATGTTGAGCGCTATAAAACCCAATTTCACCGAAATGCATAAAATGTAAAACCTCTACACTAGATGGCTTTAAATACAACAATTAAATCAAATTTTGCTTAATATTTTTCCTAGAACACTTTATGTAATACTGATTTATTAAGATTTTTATTGACATTATTTTGTTCATTACATGATTTTCGTTAAAATGTATATTTTAGGAGATATTTGCAAAAAACGAAGAAAAACGCCAAAAATATATGCATCTTTAGTGGTCAGTAACTGGAAAAGTATTAGTTTTTTTTGAAAAACTATAGAAGACATTTTGTTCTTATGATTAGTTCTTCTATCTATTTCCGACGTTAATTTGAAAAAATGTAATTACACAATTGAGAAGGGGTTTCATCCCCCCGGAAGATGATGGCGCAACCCGAATTGTTTTCACTTTTGAACTTGAGGGTAAGATGTACCTAATTGTGTTTGATATAATTATCAAATGACTAATTGTCAATAACTAAATAATTGATGTCACCTTTAAATTACGACAAAAAAATATAAACAATATTAATCCAACTAGCTACTACTGACACGCACGAAGGCAATCATTCCACACCAATTATTACACCTCTAGATCCCCAATTATTCGTGTGGTCGAATTCTACAAACCTTGGCCTGATTATCGGGTGCTTTTTTGTCAACATGTATTTGTATCAATTGAGGCTTATTTGTTTGTATTGTTCCCTGACCTTTGTGATCCTGATCGCGTGTAATATATTTTGATGTTATTTTCCCATTTTCTGACGTGTTTGGAAAAATATACTACAGTCGAGGACGAGAAGGTGTAATAAAGAATTTCTTAATAAATTATGAGACACGTGTTGGAATAACAGGATATACGCCCCTATAGGGTGTGTGAAAGATTTTGAGGCATTACAATGATGAATGGAAAGTAATTGGAACAAAATACACTTTTATTATTGATAAATATTAATTAGCATAAGAGACAGTAAAAACTGAAGATAAAATTAAGAATAATTAAGATTTTCATATGTTAGAATTGCTGTATTATAGTACAAATATATAGATATATCAATGCATTATAATTAAACCAAATTCTAAATTCAAACATATGTTGAAAAAAGCCTGTTT